CAGCTGGTGCTCCTCTGATGACTGTGTGGTGTTGGTTTCTGCAGACGTGTTAACTTCTCTATCTGCCCAGCGCTACATCTTTATCTGTCCGGCAATGCATCACAGACAGGGAGGGCAGGATGGCGGGACAAGACAATGATGGCCCGTTTGGTTTTGCTCCCTGTTAAAACGTCTCTTCCGTTCATTTGGGCTTGTCAATGTGAGGAGCAGAAAGTACAATAGGACGCTGTCTCGCTGTTTGCCCTGCTAGTAGACAGACGTAAGGGAACAAACCATGCACCCCCCCAACAGGATTAATCAAAATTTGGCCTTTTGACGAGGACATGGCAGGATGTCCATCCTACAGAGGATTTGACAATGGACAAGTTTGTTTGCCTGTTGAAAGGAAGTGATTTTGAAGCTTTGAAGCTCCAGTGACAATGGCTTGTTATGGGTTGTGACATGTTAATAATATAATGACTGTGGATGATCATTTTTGTTTTGGGAGATATTTTTTTTTTGACATAAAGCTTCAAATCGTATTTTCCAGCTTTCATTTCCTTCCTTTTCTGCTTTCTGCAGTATAATCCTGGTCTCGTCTCTGTGTATCAGTGCTCTTAATGCCCCCCCCCCACACACACTGTTCATCTGACTGTGATTCTCTGTGGCATGCCACAATGACACTGTAATGAGGTTAAGGTGATTTGCCCAAACACATTTATCTGTACCTGCACAACTGCTGACGTTTCAAAGCGTTCCCCCGTAGGGATTAAAGGCTGGGTTAGCTTTAGCCTGATGCTAAGAGTGCTGATCATCACTCACTAGCATTACAGGGGATAATAACGTGTGGGATGATGGTATGTTCAGATGGGCTGTAAGGAGGAATGAGTCGCCTGCTTCAAAAGAGTTGAGCGAGTCTTTATAATTGTAGTGACGTGTCACGGTGCACAGTTTATCAGTCATTACGAATGAAACACTGAAACAGACAACGGTGACAAGTGGCAAAAGTCTACGTAGGAAACGTTTTCAGCCTTGAAATCCAGCGTCACAGTCCACCCCACGTCTCCCCTCAGACCCGCACAGACCCTGCGTTAACATCTTCACCAAGCTGCTCTGCGCTTCTCAGCCCGAAGAGCCTGCCGTCTGCACCTTCACTTCCTCTAGAGGACAATCCAGACGTTTGTTTCCTGTGTGGCTCCTTGGCCAGCCACTGACCCCCCACTCACGCTGTAACTCTGCTCTGGGATTAGACTCTGGCCTCGTTTGTCTTGTCAGCAGGGGAGGATTCGGGGGGATGGTGTGGTCCAGCTCAAAATGAAGTTACAAACTGCTTCTGGTGGTTGGCAGGCCGGACAGAAACGAATAGAAAATGTTATTTTGGCAGCACGCAGACGGCAGAGATTGAAGGCTTTGGTTTATTTAGCTTCAGCTGTGCAGAACATGTCTTCCTTTATAACATGTATGACCCCGAATGATCTGAAAGATAAAGTTTGGACAATGACTGTGTAGGGTTATTTAGCACAATTGCAACCTAATAGGTTCATTCATTTCTCTTGTTTGGACAAGTGACCCCATTGTTCCTGCTCAGACAGCTGGTGTACTGGACAGAAAGGCCGGCCTGTATGTAGTAAACACCCTGATCCTGTCTTCAGCCTCTCCTGCACATGTTCACTCTCGTCCGGAGTCGCATCTGACCTGAAAAAAATCGCCATGTGCTCTCCAGCTAAGGAAAGGGGTGGATTTCAGGAAGGACAGGGACTTCTGTCTGGTCAGTCTTACCCCTATTTATTGACCCTGTTGCTGAGCAGTGTCTCAGACAGACAGTGACTGTTCAGCAGAGCAGTAAGGGGGCCGGAAGTTCCCAGCATTTCTGCTGAAAGCTGCAGCGTTCGTGGGAGAAGAGGAGAGGATGGCGGGACAAGACAATACTCTCTATACAGAGATCACAGAGTGCTGCTTTTCTGCAGCGAGTTTGTAGGCGGATTACAGCGATCTGAAGTAACATTCAAGACTGCCAACACAAAAATGTTCTTCTGGAACCGGTGGCGAGGTAGGCACTATTATCTCACATCTCATGAAGAATCAGTTTGATGCACCGGGGGTGAACATTTTGGCAGTTACGAGGAATAAATTCACTCAAGGCATGTAAAATCGCTAGTTGGAAAGCAGCATGGGAAAGACTGGCCTTGCTGAAGGTGGCTGAACGACCTTGTGAGATCCAGTCTAATCCACTGCCAATGGAGAGGGGAAACTGTCTCTAGTTCTGGATTAGGGCAGCTGTTGAAGGAGGTCACCCCGGACCTCGTATACATGTCACAAGCTCCTCCCCGCCGTGGCTCAGATTGGCCGGGCTCCCCTGTGTGGGGGCACCATAGAGAGTTCTCGTTGAATGAAGTCTGCCTGTTGATCTGACAATAGTCTGCATTGTTCTGTACCATCCCAGGCTTCATAGGGTGCGTTTCACAGGCTTTGTAATGCATATGATCACGAGTCATCACAGGACATTCTTGTCAACTAGGTAACCATTTTAGTTTTTTATACCCAGAGAGCCCACATCATTGCTATTATCAGCAAAAAATAAGGTCTTCAGACTCCTCAGTCAGATCAGTATGTCCATGTGCTTGTCTTGTCTCTTTTGTTGTGCTGATGACAGATTGGCGTTGCGCAGAAACCCCATATCCAACAGTAGCATACACTCGTATAAGCCGAGCATATAGCACACACACCAAACTGGACCATCTGGTTCTTGCGGTTTTAGGCGTGTGCAGTCACTCTAGTGACTCAGAACTTCCAATCACGCTCTCCTCAGGTGATACTACACAAGATTAAAGAGCTCACTTGAAGAATATTTACTCATATGATCACATTTGCTCGTCGTAGAGTCCCAACATTGCAAATATAGCGTTTAGTTTTACAGAAATTGGCAGAAAGGCAGTGTTCGCCTCAAAGGTGTTAGATCTGCTGGGGAATATTCTTCACCCTTACCACTGCAGCAAGAAACTAACTCCAGTGTGTGCCAACACTTCACTTTAATATCACATCACGGGACTGTACAGTGCCCTTGCTGTTTGCTCAGATCAGTACTGTCATAACAGAGATGTCACAGCCAGTATTAACAGCTTGTTAGTGTCTTACTCGTGCAGTCCTTTTGGAGGTGAATCAGGTGACAGAGTGAGCTCACGAGTCTCCCCCTCTGTTCATCCTCCCATCCCAGCCTTGTTCTCTCTGCCAGGCATATGGATGCCCGGCTGTTTGGTCTTAAAGTGGTTTACCTCTCTTCCCCCTTCTTGGCAACCTTCTGCCGTGGTGCCTGGGTCAGCTCACATAAGGCCGACTCTATCATGCCTGACGTGTCTCGCCTTGAAAGACGACCCCCAAACTTGTTTGCCAATGTCAGCACACGACGAGTGAGGAATGGACACTGACAACTGCTGCTGAGGGGTGGGAGGAAAAGAGGGAAGGGGGGAGGGGTGAAGTAGAGAGAAAACAATGAACATGCAGAAATCCTATAGAAATAGCCCAACTCTCTCTGTGATAACTTATTTTGTTTTAACACATCCAATCACACAATCTCAGTTATCAATGAGCTGTCTGTTTCTATTATCAAAAGTGTATAAAATCAATTTTTTCAAAGTCTGCAGAAAGGTTACTGGCTCTTCCTGTGCTGAGATTTTGGATCAGATCACTATTTCATACTTTAGAAATTGACAACACAAATATATGTCCATGAGAACACTGTTGCGTGATTGGCTGAGTGGAATCACATCCAAAAAGTTCTCACAGAAGTGAGTA